TAAAAATTTTTATAAAATAAGAGTACGATTACGATAAGAATGAAGATGTGAAGTGAAGTGGAAAGAATTCAAGTGGTAAAATAAAGTAAAGTAAAAACTAGAAAGAACATTACTATGACCAAGGTAAAGAAAGGGGTTTGACAAAACGTTTTTGAACACATAATTTAGGTTTCTGTTCATGTATAGCTAAAGCTTCGGCTATGCATAAGTGAAGAAAACGTAAACTTTTGGATCGATTCGATTTTGCCATGTAGATAACTTTGAAAGATGAATCACGTGGGGCTAAATGACCTGACTCTAACAGGTGATCACAGATAGACGACTTCGCAGTTCTACGTTCGCCTTTCATTAACCAGACTGGATAGTGTTCAGCTACACGTTTTCGGAGATTACGCTTACAACGTCCAATATAAACAGCTCCACAAGAGCAGGCAAACGAGTAAATACACATTCCAACAATATATACAACAAACTGAAGCCTAAGGGATCCAGATTGCCTTACCTGTACGGCTTACCAAAGATGCATAAGCCTGACATCCCTATGAGACCAATATTATCTACGATTAATTCGCCGTATCACAAAGTAGCTAGGTGGCTAGCAGAAATGTTAGAACCGATCCGTGGTAAATTAGCAGTCTACAGCCTGAAAGACACCTTCCAATTCGCTAAACAATTAGAGAATCTAAGCATCTCAAATAAATCCATGGTGTCCTTCGACGTGTCTTCACTGTTTACAAAGATCCCATTGGAAGAAACAATACAAATTATATGTCAACATGCCGAACTTCTTCCTCTGCCCAAGAACGAACTCAAACAACTTTTACTTATGTGCACCAAAGACGTACAGTTCCAGTCCAATAACACTCTGTACCGCCTAATTGATGGAGTCGCCATAGGAAGCCCCCTGGGTCCGATCCTGGCAGAAATTTTTATGGGTAGTCTGGAACAAACAAGGTTGAAATCCACAATCAGTCAGACCAACTTCTATACCAGGTATGTCGATGACACTTTCGTTATTTGTAATTCTTTTAATGATGCATCTCAAGTACTAAAAGTCTTGAACAGAGCCCATCCTAATATTAAGTTTACAATGGAGTATGAAAAAGAGGAGAAGTTCCATTTTCTTGACCTGGGTATCCAACGAGATATAGACGGCAAATCATAAGATATATACACAGAAAAGAGACCTGGAGGGCGGTTTATCTTAACTTCAAAAGCTTCTGCCCTATAAGGTACTAAAAAGGATTGGTGAGAACATTATTTGATCGTGTAAGGAAGCTGTGTTCAGAAGGAAAGATTGAGGAAGAGCTATCCATTGTGGAGAAATGCTCACGCGACAACGGTTACCCACAAAAGTTCATCGACAAGTATGGGAGACGTCATGTTGAAAAAGTGAAAAGCAGCACAGCAGAGAAAAAGCATATCTTTCTGCAGCTTGTATTCAAAGGTGATGATACTGCTAGTAGAATAAGATGTAGACTGAACGCTACCCTGAAAGGAACATATCCAGCCGTCAAGCTTGTATGTGTTTATCAAACAACTAGTTGTTTGAGACAATCAAAAGTGGACAAATACCCACCTCATGTTACCTCCAACTGCCAAAGCACATACTTCGGAAGAACAGAGAGAGGGGTTATTGTCTGCATTTCTGAACACATACCAAAGAACCTGAGACTGAAAGGTCCACAAGCATTAAACAGTACGATTGCGCGTCATCTATTAGACACTGGTCATATTGTAGACAACCTGAAGTCGTTCAAAATAATCAACAAGCAAAGGAAACCTAGCTTGCTACACTTTGCTGAAGCAATTGCTATCAAACGACTTAAACCAAATCTATGTACGCAGAAAGAGACAATGGTGAATCTTGCACTGCCCTGGTGATAACAAAATACACAACTTTTATGAGTCACCTTTTTTCTTGTTTAGAAAACTCTAGTCTCTCATCTAAACATGACTCACCCTACCTTGTTCTTTTCTCTTCTTTTTTTTCTATTGGCTGTTAGATAAAACATTTTCTTTAGTTACATAATCTACTTTTTTGTTATGCTCTTTCTAGCTAAACCTTGTTCCTATACACACACATATATACGCAAATCTGTTTTTGTTTCCAAGCCTAATTATCTAATTATTCTATAAATAGTCACTGTTTGTAACTCTTAATTAGTTAAATCATTCCGGACTAATGTTATTCTTACTTTCTACCAATTACTCCTTGTGATCGTGGAAAAGTATGTAATGTAATTCATATTTTTTATCCCTCAAGTTGTAACCAGTTGAGAAGAATCCTCGAAATAATAAAAGATGAGCTCACATTATCGTGGTACAATTGTTGTTCTTGCTTTGTACGAGATATTTGTTGTACAATGACACAACCGTTTCTGATCAGTTCAGTGTGTCTTTGATGACGACAAAAGGGTTACAGTCAATCCTCCTCCCTACAGTCACTGGACACTTCTTCTCAGAGATTCCCATCTCTTGGTGACAGTTACTTAATTTAGTGAGGTGTTGCTTGAAGACGAAAAGAGAAAAAAAGATAGTGTTTAAGTTATGACTTCAACCACCACCCAATTATAACTCAGAACCAGTCTATTAAACAAACACATTTCCGGAGCCTTTCAAATAATAAATCAGTTATTTTGTCCTCTGTGTTGTAAGTTGATTTGGATAAATTGTGGGAGAGGACCTAGATAGTCAGGTGATAATGAAGAACGGATAATAGTGTACTATTCACTTACTGAACCATATAATCTCAGAAGCACCTTTTGGTGAGCAACAGTCACTAACATAAAGTCTAGTGTGTGGATAGTTACTCACTGGTAAAATTAGATTCCAGTGGTGTTATGTTAAGAATTGAAAACATTGTCAATCATGAACATCCGAATTCCAACTGAACTACGTGTGTTCACATTGTAACCTCATAGTCCCAGACTATATATATTCCACTTGAGGTCGTAAGTTCAAACCATTGAAGGTTTTCAAACTAGGAAGAAATAAGTGTCCATTGGTCTTTGCGTTGTATTCTTCATCCAGTTGATTTTCATTTATAACGAAACCAGTCAAGTTCCTATAGACCTGTTGAGCACTAGGGTCTGACTCCAACCTGTGTACTAAAATCCAACTAAGTCTTCACTATTTTTAATTTACTAAACGCTGTGTCCGACTAAATACAGACAACGTTATATTAGAAAGCTACATGTAAGGACTTGAGAAACTGTATTAATAGCAAAGCTGAATTTCGAAAGTACACGGACCAACCAGCGGCGCAATATATATCAAGACAATCTAAAATCAGTGTCCAGTTACACAATGGTAAATATTCGTCAAGCATACATACAATCAGTTTCTGCAATTGTCTAATACAGGTATGTGAATTAGTTCCAGAAACATTTGGTCAGATTTAATAGAGGAGCACAACGCATACACTCACTTCATTTCTAATAATTTCGAAAATCTTCTCAGGCTGATATCATGGATAATTGATGGAAATTTGACAAAATGAATACGATAATCAGTTGTGAACAGTGAAGGTCAGTCAACTAGCCGTGTCGCGGAAACATAAATTCTGGTCGTCGACGGACAAATTTCTATCTTACACAGTTACGTAATCTGGTTTAAACTGAAGGCGAATGGTTTACAATGGAAGATAGCTTGGAGACAAATAAATGTAGGGAATTGATTAGAAAGCATAGGGAATTAATGCAGTAGACTTGACTCTAAATATTGAGAGAAAGTTTGCTAGCCTAGAAATCAATCAGTGCATACGACTCAGATTGAACCAAGCTACTATCGCAAAAATCCTTGTCATTTCTCCTGTCACATTTCATCTGATAATACAGTATCCAAAACCGACTCATGAATTAGAGTAAAATGTGTATTGTGCTGAAACTTTTTGAAAGAGACTACCTGAGTTATGCTTAGCCATCGAAGGCGTACAAGCCTTAAGAACTAAGAGGAGACCTTGAATAAAATTGTTAAGATTCAATTTCTATCAATCTTGTACTGCGTATTCACTAACTGTGCTAGTATCGAGCTCCTGATTGACCTCACGATTCTTTCTACTTACTATGTTTGACAATGCTCAAAAGGGCGACGGTATGTCTATCAGGTTATTCGACGCTCAGTGCCCATAACATAAATTATGTGTTCTTATCTAAGTAAAATAAAAAAGCTCACTGTGCATTGACCCCGATACCATCACCAAACAAGTTAAAGTCATTTGGCACGAAAGCCACTTGCGCGTAGTAAGACCCTCCACACAATCCTAAACCGTTCAAACCACGAATCTTGAGCAAATCAAGGTGGACAACTTTTATTGATAAACAGATACTGCGAACCCCCGTCGTTTTTTAAGCATTTGTGGTAATCAATCACTGCGCAAATAGTGAACAATCGACCTTAACAGTTGTGATATACACCGAGAAATGCTCGAACCATTCAGATTAACCACCATTTGACCAAATAAATTATTGGAATCCACACTGCTGCAGAAGACAACCATTTCCCCTGCTCAAGAGTACAGACAACTAGCTTCGAAATTACACTTTCTTCACTCTTACTCACAACACGCACGTTAATGGACTTATCAATGCCAGGTGTTGACACTGCCTCATCAACCGATTCTTTGAAAACACACAGCAGGGACGTAGAGGTCAGAACACCTCTAATGCAGCCAGTCAGTCACCTTCTCCCAGAAAACGTCCGAATCAACCATCGAATTGTGAAGTGTTCAAGGTTTCCTATCAGTATTACGTTGATGCTGTATCACCGTAGCCTTCCTTAACTAACTACAGTTAACTCGAAAAGAGAAGATGGATTCAAAAGGAAATACAATTTATATGAAAATAACAAAATCTGTTTATAAGTAAAACATGCCGTCAACTTGACTGCTGTGAACTTTGAAACGACCAGCATCTAACAGAATCTCTGGTTTCTCTATGTCCGATAACCACTCACGTGCCCGAAATGCAGCCAAATGAGAATAATAAGTCGGCGCTGGATACGAGACACTACGGGAACACCTCATGTACCCGTAGCATAAGTGGTAGGTGAACATCTGCAGAGCATTCGATGTCCAGTTACTATCATCATACAAAACGTGATAGTGAGCAGGTTTCGATGTACCCTAAAAGTAATGGTATTAACACAAGGAAACAATTTACCTGAATCCCTTCCTGAGAGCAGAGGTAGAAATCGAATTCCCTGGGATGTGTGATATCTGTATCAATCACCGTTCCTGGCTCCACGTTTCTTGCCCTAGCAAAGCATTCAAACAGACCGTTAAGACACGAATAAGGTGTAGTAGGTACACAGAAAACATCATGAGCGAATACCTTACCTGGGGTCAGATGGTCGAAATCGAATATGGTGACGCTTTTGCACAACAATATAAGTGATAGCAGGCTCTTCACCAGGACGAATATCTGCGCAGGCTCTTTGAATTGCACCCAACTCCTCCACCAACACATTTTCGAACTGGCCCTCCGAAACTCCATCACGATAGAATATCATGCGCGTTGGAAAACGCCCGTTCGTGTTTCGCAGGTAAAGCTACAACAAAACACAAATAATAAGGAAGAACAAAAGCGTACAACGGGAAGAAGGGGAACGTAAGACAGTAGAGTCGGTCATTGATGAAAACTAACCTGGAGTAGCTCACTGACAATGAGACGCATATTATCGATTATTTCTCTGGCTGACTTATTGCCTTTTTCTGTGGTTGCCTGTTGACGGATAACTACCCCATATCTCATCAGATCGGGTGAAATGCTACCAATAACAGCAGCTACTGACTTCCGAATTTCATGAGTTTGTGTAGGCGCCGGATGAGTGACGTCGGCTCCGAAAACCATAACCAACTCCTGACTGTCCTTAATCAAATCAGGAATTTGCCAGTTCACACCACCGAGTTTCCCATTCAGTTTGAGCAACAGGTTAGCTGAAAGCAGAAAACCGAATTAAGCTCATCGAAATACAGAAACACACTGAAAGCTACATGTGAACAACAGTAATCACTTACGGAAAACGTTCGGTTTGTCCAGAGTACGACTTCGTACACATTGGGTCCGAATGCCCATTTGTAGGTCACTCAGACGTTTAATGGATGAGTAGGACTGTTCATCGTACAGGATGAGAAGTAAGAAGCAACATCCTTGTCTGGAAAACTCCTCGAACCTCCTGTTAAGTTCTCCTCTCGGACACTGTGCCACAATCGGTCGAGGGCTAAACCGAACACCAAAGCGACTGGCCGCTCTAGGCAATTCCGATATCACCTTCTGTACATGACCATGAGACCGCTAGGAAGAAAACATGGCAAGAGGAGGAAACAGTCAGTTCTCGCCTTCACATTTGACAATAACAATAACATGAGGTTCTTCCAAATGCATTGCGCAAATACACACTTTTCAGACAATATTCGTCTTCTAAAAACACTATCCAAATTTATAAAGGAGACTAACGGTTTTCAACAATAACATATGCCTTTCGACAACAAACCAGAATTAAGTGCACATTTCTCAGACTACTCTACTTATCTGACAACATTTCATTCACATTATTATTAAAAGGCAGACAAAACCTCAGCTTCGTATACAGAGCATTAAACACTGACAAATAAAAGATAATGATATTGCCACCGACGTAATGCAGTGAACAATGAAATAGGTGGGCTGTCATGAAACCAGGCGAGGGACCCTTCGATGTTGATACAATCGACAAATGACCAAGTCAATTTAATGCCCAAGTGATTGCACAACTCATCCTCGTTACAGCACTAATCTTATGTTGGACCGGAGTAGAAAACATACCTGATTAGGCGGAATGCTAAGTACAGCCCACATTAATTCTACTCCTTCGCCGGCAGGGCGAAGAAAGCCAGGTGTGATCCAACTACCTGGCGTCAGTTGTCGCACACCGGAACGACCAAAACCAGCAGTTGGAGGTTGGAGAACACGTGCGTTAACTTCCACTGGCCTCGGTTGAATCGCTAAACCAAATTGTTTAATCAGTGGATGGGACCTTGGAGGAAATGCAACAAATATCATGTAAAAATACCTCATAATTACAAAACAATGAATTGAGTAAATCATAAAATCTGGTTCCAGACTAACTTCGTTTACACACTTTCCTGCATAATTGGCTCCAGACTTGCATTCAAGCATACTTACCCTCTTCACTGTCACACGGTCAACAAACACTACTCTAATTTTGTCGTGCTCGACTCGTTGCAAGTCTGTGCAACTATATAACTCGTGACCCACTATTACCAACTAGACACCGCCACATTCTGCGTCCTTATCAAATCTATGTGTAAAACAGTGTATGTCGTATCTGCTTGCATGCCTGGAAAACAAACAATAAGCTTTGTAGGTAGGCGTCACGTCAAGCATCTCCGGCACTTATCCAGGACTGCGGTATTTACTTCACGTTTATTCAAATTTTAAAACTACGGCTGACACAACGGACATCAGATTTGTCAACAAAACGTTCGCAAAACGCTCATCTAATAATATCAGTGAGAAGTTAACGCATTGTGCAATAGATCAATTAAGTTTAATTGTATTTCAAATCCAATAAGCTGGTGGCAATTTCGCTCGAAATCAAAAGCTTATCACTGTGCATGAACAACCATTGAAATACAATTATAACTAATCATTCGTCTAACAGTATGCTTCAGTTCTCACCTTCAACTTGTCTCTATACAGGAATATAATGAAGACTAGAATTTCTAGTCATGGGAAAACTGAGTTGGCTTGTAGTTGGAAGGGTCTACAGATCCATAGCTTATCGACTACAACTTAAAGTAGCACTGTCTCGAGCACTTCACCATCCATTCTGGAGGACTCTACCACTGACATCACCAATGATTCTATAGAAGCTAAGAGTGATATTTCGGAAATCCCCAAAAAGTATCCAAGGTTTGCATTGTAACTTACTACCTATTCTACTTTCTCACCATCCTTTTAATGCGCTACAACAGTGAGTGTCGAGCTATAAGCTTCATGGAATGCCGGAAAAATCAATCATCGGAAGCTCGTCGATCTCAACATGCTTCCCCTCAACTCTTGGATCAATAAGCAACATTACACTTTAGTACTGACCAGCAGTATCAACTCATAAATAAAATACTCTTACTGCAGCATATTATTGGCAAAATTTTCCAGCTCTCTGAAGCGTTCATGTGGTCGAATTGCTGCACAACGGATAACTTCACTCGCAACATCGGCTTTACTCGCATTAGGAGCTTGATATGGCAAAATGTTTAACAGTTCCATCGGCACATACACTTCACGCTTTTGATCAACCTACAAAAATAATCACTGAAACGGAAATTTACCTTCACACATGGCAGCTCTGGATACTTCAGAGTGATATGATGGTGCTCCTTGAAATATGCAGCCACGGACTGATTCAACCCCTCAATCATCAAACGATCAGCTGGTAGTGATGATATCCCGTGCACGGTGAAGCGTCGGGAATATGCACGTCCTAAAATGTATGAGGTATAACAGAAAACATGCATACCATCATCGCTCCTGTAGAATTTATCAGTCTCAACTCGTATCTTTCTCAAGTCGTACGCCATTTGAGTGCTACATCTGGCCATATCGTCTCCATACTTCGAGTACATGACGTCCGCTAGATTCCCAGATACAAAGTAGGCTTTGCACGTCTGTGATTATGTAAGAAGAACGTGTATCACTACTTACCATGTCCAAGTTCACACGAATCTTCCACTGGGGTCTCACAGTACTTATAAAACCTTTATGAATAGTGAGAAGCTTATCCACAACCACTTTAGTTGGTGTCCCCTGAAATAGGGCTGCGCGTCCAAGGGATACAAACGACTGCTTTGACACTGTTTTCAAGATGCAATCTAATAATCTGATACAATCCTAGAGACAAATCTGAAACATATCCAGACTTACTTGAGGCATATTCATTGAGGTCGCTTTCGGACTCGTTATGAAATGACTGATGTCGGAAGTAGATACCTTCTGCACTTCCATAATCCGGTACTTGAGAAGAAGGCGGTCCCGTCCAAACGGCTCTTTGATCTCAATCTCTCTTTCTACGGGGTCCGTTGTGACACCAGGTAACGGATCTTCAGAGTATATGGCATGACCGCCATCATATATAATCGTATCTGGTAAACTGCAGAAGAGAGTGAAATAAGCATAATTGTTTAGCATGAGGTCTATGAATAGATACCATTGCCATCAATACAAGCCATAACCAACAACTTCAACAATTCTCCTTAAACAACACTGATGGTAACCGAAGTCTCGTAATGAATGGTGTGGGACATGGAACAAGTTATCCCATACGTGTACGAACCTTCGGTTGACAAGCAAGCAATACTTGACCGAAAGTCAGGAACAATTCAGCCTAATAATTAAGGGACAGAAAGTTCCGTTACATATGTAAACAATCCATTTGATCAATAACACAATGGTACTTACGAGTCAGCTACCTGCTGAATTAAAGATCTCAACTCCTTAGGTGGCATTCTTATCTCAGTTTTACTGCCCTCCCTAGCTTCCAATCGGTGAACTGAGTTCGCTTCCACAAAATAAAGATATACCGTTTTGTGGTGAAAAGAAAAATCCCAACAGTTTGAAGTGACTTTGACTTTCCTGCCAATTGTACCTCCTTGATCTGGTCTATTCGGCATTCTGAGTATCTTCTGCATGTTTAGTCTGAAAAATAGTCAATTCGGGAGCGTTACCGAAAAAAGCAATGAAGACAAATACTGCTAGAGTTTATTTGACGTCAACTTACTTCGAAATCCCCGTAGACATGTCAAATCTGAAACAAAGAAACGAAGGCTAGTTAGGCATTAGGACAAAACATGTCGTGTTATCTGAAGAAACAACAGGAATAGTACTCACATAGCTTCTGGAACTGGATGGCTCTTTTTCTGGCGAGCAGCTTCCGAGGCAATTTCGCCCTCCGAAGACGACGGAATATCACCCCGTTCACAAGGTGCATTGGAACTCCATGCAGAACCAGACGAACTATTACGAGTTATTGTCAGCAGTCATAAACTTACGCTGAATGACCTCTTTCAGCAGGCTTCTTTAACGGTCCTGAAATGTTGACGCGTGACCTGAAGGGTGAAGAACAACATCTTAGTAGTTATGCACACCACGAATACGAAGTGTTACTCTCTAATCTGTGGAGGCTGACTGAAAAATCAATCTGACAATATATCATGGGAGATGACAGCGGACTACATAATACGTATCCGAACACAAAAGACACTTACTACTTCTCGCTAACAACTGCCAACCATCGTAGCTAAATGCACAGGACAAAAATTAATGACAATTCAGTCACTCTTTATCCTTCATGTTAGCCACATGTCATCAGTCTTCGTTCCAAACAGATTCTCAGGAACTGTCAAGCTGTAGTTAACGTGCACGACCAGCACCGAAACACACCACAAGTCCAGCCCGACTATTCTGTGTGTCTAGACAACTCAATTTCGGCCAAATAAGCTTGATGCACCAAAGTTCAGATGGCTTTTCGAGTGACCACTCTGTGATGAAGCCGTTCGGCCTATGGGATATCTTAGTTACACTGCTTCCAAACTGGAATTGAAATCACACCAGAAAGACATTGACGAGGTATGCGCTGAAATACTTCTAAGCTTCTCAGTTTTGCACGTACAGGGTGGCGGTTACACGGATAACGTCAGTGGCGAGGAATCATGCAAATCAATCCACACTCACCCATTTCCATAAGGCCTGTCTGATCCACCTCGGTCTCCCCGACCACCAGGTGCTCCACGTCCACACGGATGTCCGTAAAACCCTCTACAAAACACAACCGATTAATTCAGTAGTGCTTAAATGACCGTCATAAAGATTGTAGTATTCAATTTTATTCACACTCGCATTGAATATGACCTGTGAGTATATATCGACGAATTAGCTGATCCATCATCAGTTATCGTCCAACATAACGGCATACTGACGAGAAATACCTCCAATATCTACAACCCATGATACCACTCCGGACAAAGTTTGACAGTCCCATGAAGCCGCAGAAAGCAAACCAGGAGGTTGCACCACTGGAGAAATCCGTTTATCTCTAAGACCGCTCTCAGGAAATAACCGTAGCAACTCAGTGCACACGGGATACAACTAACCACTTCATGCCACTACACACTAGTCAAAGCTGACGCTCACTTTGCATGTTTGTAACGTGAACCAGTTCATGGTATTTTAACCTATGCTACTCGAAGACTAACAAATCGTTCTCCTAATTACTGTGACTGCAGTCACAGACAAAAGTGTGTCGTGCAGTTGAGACATGTCTCAACTGCACGACACACTTTTGTCCGTCGGACAACAATTGCTGACAACCCCAAGCAAACAGCATACTGTCAAAATCCCTAAGTCGACTAACATACTCACAAGAGACATCTGAAAGCCTGAAGACTAACAGACAACCTTACCTATCCGACATGCTGCTGACGAGAACCACTACTACAATAGTAAGCGCACTCAACAACTACTGTCTGATGCCAGACGTGACATAGCTTGACTAAACAAAGTTTAAACATCCAATATCCAATACTTTTCGACAAAATTGTAGAAGCCTTACGATTTATTGGTACTCACTCTCCTCCGTTTCTGAACTGTTCTATGCTTCCGGTGTGTTCCATAACGAGCTATCTTCTCAGGTGCCGTAGCTCTGCTGAAGCCAATAATAGCATGTTATTTTATTGTCTATTTTTTATTCCCTTGCGTTCCGAGTGGAACGTAGGGCTTCAAAAACACACCTCCACTTTATTCTGTTTTCTGTCGTCCTCTTCAGTTGGGTCCACGATTGACCAAACTCTCTCATCTCTTCCTCACACGATCTCTTCCATGTCATTCTAGGACGACCCACTCGTCGCTTCCCGTTTGGATTCCACTCGAGGCATTGCCTGACGTGCGATGTCATTCGACAGCCTCCTTGATGTACGCCTGATCTGTCTTCACTTTCTCCTACACATTTGTTGAGTGATCGGCTGTCACCTGTTGGTTTGTTCCCATAGTTTCTTATTGCTCATTCTTTCTGGCCATTTGGTCTTCAGTATGGGGTCAGAGAAGGCAGCTGTTGATGACAGGCTGCAACATTTTGAAAATCCTTTTCGTGACACACAGTGCAAGTTTCTGACCCATACAGAAGAACCAACTTCACATTGTTCCTTATGTTTAGTGCAGAAGATTTCCAAATTAGTTTCAAGTTGATGAAGGCGTTCTCGCCCTTCTGATTCCGACTGGTTTGACACCTTCATCCGTTCCACCTGTAGTGTACATTGTACCTTCGAACTTTTGTTTGAATGAACTCAGCCTGACCTTTAACCCCACTTCCACTTTGTATTCCTGATCCTCCTGTACGGTTTCGGTTTCGCTCTCTCGCTGTGCTTTCACCTTGCACACTCCCTGAGCTTACACCGCCTCACCTGCAGATAAGTGTGTACCTCTTATTTCTTATCAAATTATATATCTCTTTTGTGTAAATACAATTCTGTTCCCGTCACACTTGCCATCTCAAGTCTTTTAACCTTGATTCCGTTCGTTAGTACTTGCACGTTAGGCAGAGTACGATTAAGGCCATAGGCGGTGAAGAAGTTTTGTAAGAGTGGTTGTTGTTAGGTCGAAGTTAACTTAAGTCTAACTCTTACAAGTGGTGAGCCCGAGTTTTCACCGTTTGCCTACTTAGTAGCCTGACGTGTATATAGTCCTTTTTTCATATTGGCAATTTGTTTTTCACACAGAGTTATAAAATTTTACTTGCCTTGTTTTTACTCATATTTTTTGTTATCATATTTGTTATCATTTTATTAATATATCGTCCCGTTCGCAGGATGGCTGTAACCCCCAGTCCCACTCAGACTAAGAACACCTCTGCCGAAGGGTCATCAAAATTAGATGTGGTGGCCTACATAGCTAAGCTTTATGAAGAGATAGATAAATTAAGACAGGAGATGACACCTAGAGGTCGTTCGAATAGCCGCACCAGCTCGACTCGTGGTAGATCTTCTTCACGAGCTGGCAGCAGGCGTTGTAGGTCTCAAAATTCCCAACCTGGAGTGTGCTGGTATCACCGGCGTTATGGTGCCAAGACCCAAAAGTGTACTCGCCCGTGCACCTTCGATGTCCAGCAATCGGGAAACCAGTAAGCCAGCACGTATTGGCGACTAACGTCGTTGACGAACCACTTCCATGTCGCCTCTTCTATGTTACCGACCGTAACGCCGGGACACGCTTCCTGGTTGACACTGGGGCGGAAGTTAGCGTGATTCCACCAACATCTGAGGAGCGTCAGAAGCCACTTTCCTTACAGCTTCGTGCCGCAAACGGTTCGCCAATCACAACGTACGGTAAAAGGTTCCTAGATCTTAACATAGGCTTACGTAGGTCATTTCGCTGGGTTTTCCTTGTGGCAGATGTAACTACCGGTATTATTGGCATGGATTTCATGCAACACTATCAGCTACTGGTTGATACTAGCAAACACAAATTGATCGATTCAGCTACAAACCTTTCTATCTCCGGTGTTGTGACGCACACACCTGCATTAAGCCCAGTATATTCAACCCCTGCCTCTAAGGGCCCTTACGCTGAAGTTCTCCAGTCCATTGCCAATCTGTTCAAACCGGTTTCTAAACTTCCTTGTGTGACTTCTGCTGTCACGCATCATATCGTGACCACTGGTCCACCGGTATTTGCAAAGCCACGGCGATTGTCCCCAGAAAAACTACAAGCCGTGAAGGCTGAATTCGAACATATGTTAGACATAGGGATAATCCGTCCATCCAGCAGCCCGTGGTCTTCCCCTTTACATGTGGTGCCAAAGAATAACGGGATAGATTGGAGGCCTTGTGGTGACTACCGCAGGCTTAACGCACAGACCGTGCCAGATCGCTACTCCATACAACATATACATGACCTTACGTCGTCACTAAAGGGTGCCACGGTATTCAGCAAACTGGACTTAACAAGAGCCTGTCATCAGATTCCAGTTCATCCAGACGATATTCCTAAAACGGCAGTGATCACCCCTTTTGGTCTTTTCGAATTTCTCCGAATGCCGTTTGGTCTCCGCAACGCCGCACAAACATTCCAGCGATTTATTCACGATGTTTTGCGCGGATCGGATTGCGCATATGCTTATCTCGACTATATTCTCGTGGCTAACCCAGATGAAGCTACCCACCGTACGCATTTACAGATGGTTTTTGAGCGGTTAACAACCCATGGTTTGACACTTAACATGTCTAAATGCCAGATTGGCGTCCATTCATTGACCTTCTTGGGACATGTCATTAATTAACAGGGAATTCGCCCGCTACCTGAGAAGGTGCAGGCAATACGCGACTTCCCGGAACCTACTTCAACGAAATCTTTGCGCACATTTCTAGGCATGGTGAGTTATTATCGACGGTTTGTTCCTCAATGTGCACATATTTTACAGGCACTCACAGACCTACTAAAGAGTAAGAGTAAAACGTTCAGCATGACATCATAGGCCTGAGAAGCGTTCCAGAATATTAAGTCGGCGATTGCAGACGCCATCATGCTAGTTCACCTAGACGTCCATCTTCCGCTTAGCATCTCAGTTGATGCATCTAACACAGCCATTGGAGCTGTTCTACAGCAACAGGTAAATACCTCATGGATACCAGTCGCCTTTTTCTCTCGGAAGTTGTCCTCCGCTGAAGCGAGGTATAGCACCTTTGGCAGAGAACTCCTCGCCATATACGCGGCTATCAAACATTTTCGCCATTTTATCGAAGGTCGGAAATTCACAGTATTTGCCGATCACAAGCCCCTGACGTACGCCCTCCACACTACTACAGATAGATATTCTCCACGTGAATTGCGTCACTTGGACTATATCTCACAATTCACTTCGGACATTCGACATATTTCGGGGGTTGACAATGCTGTGGCGGACGCCTTGTCTAGGATATGTACCATGTCGGCGCCGCCAACCATTGACCTGAAACAAATGGCACAACGTCAGCTTACAGAGTTAGATCTCGATAAGCTCTCGTCAAATACCTCCTTACATATCAAGTGTATACCGCTTGTTAATAGCGAGGGTACCATCCTCTGCGATCTATCCACCGGTACCCCGAGACCCATCGCTCCACCTTCATTGCGCCGTACGGTATTCGATAGCCTCCACAACCTTTCCCACCCAGGTATCCGGGTAACGGACAAACTAGTGTCAGATAGATTTGTCTGGCCTGGTATAAATCGCGACGTGCGTATCTGGGCACGTGCCTGTGTGCCGTGTCAACGAGCTAAAGTACACAAACACAACATCACTCCAGTGGGTTCCTTCTCCACACCCGATGCTCGCTTTAGTCACGTACTTCTAGATATAGTGGGTCCTCTACCACCATCAAATGGCCACTGTTACTTGTTGACATGTGTCGACCGGTTCACTCGTTGGCCAGAAGCTATTCCCATCTCCGATACGACCGCGGAAACCATTTGCCGAGTGTTCATGGAACGCTGGGTAGCTCAATTCGGATGCCCATCTTCGGTGACTACAGACCGTGGACAGCAGTTTGAATCAACCCACTTCAAGAAGCTCTTAGAGCTGCTGGGGTGCAAACGCATCCAAACAACCGCGTACCATCCAGTAGCAAATGGACTTGTAGAGCGTTTTCACCGCCAACTGAAGGCTTCGTTAATGGCTACCGAGAATACTAAGTGGACCGAGTCCCCTCCCCTAGTGCTACTTAGCATCCGTTCCACGCTCAAAGCAGACTTACAGTGCACCTCCGCAGAGTTGGTGTTTGGTACCACCCTTCGACTACCGGGTGAAACTATATTACCTGAAAGTGGTAAGCCAAACGCTACGGATGTACATTGTTATGCTCAGAACCTCAAGCGCCTTATGAAGCGCCTGCAACCAACTCCCACACGCACACAAAACAAGAGAGTGCAAGTGGATGCTAGACTCGATGACTGTACACACGTTTTTGTACGTTGCGACGCCGTTCGTAGACCGTTACAACATCCTTATGATGGACCATTCAAGGTCGTTAGTAGGAAAGAAAATTTTTTGTTATTGATCGACTTGGCCGTCAAGACACCGTAAGTGTCGGCAGACTTAAAGCAGCCTACATCGAAGAATCTGTACCCCTCACGCCTACACAACCAGCAACTACGCCCGCACCCACACCCCAGCCAAGTTCGATTGTCCAAAATCCTACTAAACCTAGCAGTTCTCCGGATGAGACAAGTAAAGCACCGGTTACACGCGCTGGTCGGCGTGTACACTGGCCTAAGCGATACTGTGAATTTGTTAACTAAACGCTTTTAATTACAAGAGTAGCTCACACCCTCATGGCTTTTCTCAGGTTAAATTCATTTTTCATGATATTTACTCTTTTGGGTTTCGTTTGTGGGCAGTAGCCACTTTTTCATTTACTAATCCAGTTAGATTTCTTTCTCGTTACAGAGTGTTCTAACATTTTATTTTTGGCGTTGCACTCGAACTGCTAGCTAGACCAGTCCACTCCATTGTTGTATG